GTAATCAGGAATCCTTCTTGTCTATTTTTGCCTTAACAATTTCAAGTTTTAACTTTGTAATACACACAGTCACCATGTGAAAGTTTGTCAGTTTTCGACTACCATGTCAAACTGTTTTGATTTACATTGTTCGTCTGTCTTTTGCCTTAACAATTTCATGTTTTAACTTTGTAATACACACAGTCACCATGTGAAAGTTTGTCAATTTTCGACTACCATGTAAAACTGTCTTGGTTTATGTTGTTCATCTGTCTTTTGCCTTAACAATTTCAAGTTTTAACTTTGTAATACACACAGTCACCATGTGAAAGTTTGCCAGTTTTCGACTACCATGTCAAACTGTTTTGATTTACATTGTTCGTCTGTCTTTTGCCTTAAAAATTTCATGTTTTAACTTTGTAATACACACAGTCACCGTGTGAAAGTTTATCAATTTTCGACTACCATGTAAAACTGTTTTGATTTACATTGTTCGTCTGTCTTTTGCCTTAAAAAATTCATGTTTTAACTTTGTAATACACACAATCACCACGTGAAAGTCTCTCAATTTCGACTACCATGTAAAACTGTTTTGGTTTCTATTGTTTGTCTATAGCGTAGTCTTAGATTACTTGATTCGCGTGCTTACTTGTGGTCTTGATGGCGTTAAAACTTTCTGTAAATGCTTAGACAGGAAATTATTCGAGTACAGTTGGACCCCCAGAAAAATGTGGACTTTTGCCCAGCGAAAGAAGATTTTTTTAAAGACATTTATGACAACATTTGCAGTGTCTAATGTTCGTTGTAAAGATAAGTTTTTACATTTTCATCACTTTATCTAACATACAAATCGGATCTCTTAGCCAATGGTCAATAAAAAAAAATTATCCGTAGATTGGTTTGGTTTGTTTTGAATTTCGCCCAAAGCTACACGAGGGTTATATACGCTATCTGTCCCTACTTTAACAGTGAAAGATTAGAGGGAAGGCGAGCATGTTTGGTGGGACGGAGGATTCGAACCCGCGACCCTCAGATTGCGAGTCAAACGCCCTGACCACCTGGCAATGTCGGGCCTTTTCCTGTAGAAGCAAACACGTTGTTGGAACTCTAAGAACAGTTAGTTTTACGCTTCAATATAACAACCTTATAATGTCTTCTGTTTCTCGATTGTTCGTGAAAGAGCGTAGAGTAAGCAGAGAGACGGGCAAACACCCAATATTAAGTACTTAATTCCGTATTGGAAGTAATTATTAGTTTATTAGTATTTTCTTCCTTGTATTTTCATAATTTTTATATTTCTATTAATACTTCTCGGAACATCAAACTTAAAGCACGTATAAGACAACTCTTAAACTAAATGTTAATTGCTTATGCATCTTGATGGGTCTTTCAGTGATGGTTTAACTACTGTGCCCTTATGAAAACTTCTAATTTAGCGAAATGTTTGAAGTAAGAAAATAACCCAAATTCAGCGTATTCTTATTCAATGTAACAGATTGCTTCCAAGCTTTATGTTTAACTGAGGTGAAACAGGGTGATTATAAAGTATTTTCAAAAATCAACAATTATACCAAAAGTAATCCCGTTTAAACACAAAAGCCTAGCAAGGTAAGTAAACATTCGTATGCACGTATTGGGTTTTATTTCACAAAATTGAAACTGATGTTGATACAGTTCGCATTGTATATGTTAACATTTGCTATGCACCAACAGGTGTGACCCACTGTCGATTTAAGAATACAACAAAGTGTGTGTCAGAAATTCCAATTTCCTGTTCTTGTATTTTCAATACGTATTCGCATACTTATGTGTGTGTGTAAACGTTTCACGCCTAACCTTAAAACCCAATTTCTTGCTCTAAATTTTTCTTCTAATACTTTTATACACATAACCGTGTGTATATTTCTTGTTATTTCCAGTGGTCAAACAGAATTACAAAGTTGAAGTCAGAGACGAATATGTTCTTAATTCCAATTTCCTGTTCTTGTATTTCAAT